GTAATGAGCTAACCACTATTATTTTTCCCACTTCAAAGAGGAAGAAACTGAGAAAAAAGAGGTTACTATTGCTTCCAAAATTCCACAGCTTCCAGGCAGTGGAAGCTGCAAGGGCTGGACAAGAGCTTGCTGGGCAGGGACCTGAGTGATTCTTCCTGGCTCTTCCCCTTTCTTGTGGAATTCCAACAGGCTTCCCTTTTGTTCTTCCAGGGAGATCGTGTCCTCCAACATCTGGCCCTGCTGCCTTTGGCACCACAGCTTTCTACATACCCTGGAGCAGAGACTTAACTGTGTTTCCTTAACAATATTTTCATGCTGTTTCCTATATCAGGATATAAATACCACAAAACAATAGCTCGTCTTTCCTTTGCCTTTGCTATTGTTTGTGAGATGCACTCTGGGTGAAAAGACATTGAGGCAGTGTACAAATAACTTTGACTCTGAAATGAAAGGCTTTTTGCTGCTGCAGGAAGTCCCAGAGAGATTTGTTCCTTTTCTTATGCAGTGTGTGAGGGAGACTGATTCATGATTTTGTTTTATTGGTTAGCTCGCAAAGGACTGGGAGACTCATCTTGGAGTATTATTTTTCTTTTCTCTTCCTCCCTCCTTATTCCCCGGAAAATCTAGTAACGTCCTAGCATAAAGCCACAAAACTCTCTAGCTAGGTTACCGGGGGTATGGGCAGCATGAATGGGAAAATGCTACTAGTTCAAGAGTGTCTGGATGTGGCTTCGATGATAGTTACTCTAATATTTTCTCCTCCCCATTTTATAGATGAGAAAATTGAGTCCCAAATGGCAAAAAGATGGTCATATTCCTGGCTTATAGTTTGTGCAGAACATGAACCCTAGTCAATCTTCTAATTCTATATGCAAAGATCTGTTCTGCCAGGCCACTTTCCTCTCCATGCCACCAACGATGGGCACTCTTTTTGAGGAGTTGATAGATGCTAGGCCTTAGCATAGACTGGTATCAAAGGTGCTGGAGCCAGAAGCCCAGAGACAAAGTTCAAGGCAGAGGAAATTGAAGAAAGTGTCTGGTCTCTGAAATGATGGGTCACCAATTTCAGAAACAGGTGGTCCAAATGGTCCAAATGTTTAAGAGAATACTTGCTGTTGTTAGAGTTGTCTTTGTTCAAGATGATTCCCCTGAGAACCAACAGTTTCTCTGATATTGTTCAGGGGCTTCTGGGCATTATCTCATTTAATTACAAGAATGACTCTATGGTGTTATGTTTTATTCATCTGTTTTTACAGATGAGGAAACTAAGGTTCACAGAGGTGACATGATCAAACACTACCGAGACTAGAATATGAGTCTGATTCTAAAGTTAGGACATTGAAGCTATCCACTAAGCCTCACAGTGCTCCTGAGTCAAAATGGGAGCTCTTACCTCAGAACCTTAGACTTCTGACTTCTGTGATGGATCCTTCCTTTCAAAAGAAGTTTTAAAGCCAAGTGTGGTGGGTTTATACTTGTAATCCCAAGTACTGGGAAAGCTGAGGCAGGAGGATCACAGGTTCGAGGCCAGCCTAGGCAGCATTGTGAGAACTTGCATCAATTTTTTTTTCCAAAGGAAGTTTTTAGAATTTATTGGTACACAGTATTATCAATTTTTCTTAGACTTTGACCTCATTTATGACATGATGGAGATATCTGAACCTCTAGGTCATTTCACAAATCATCTGGAGGTGAAGATGGCAAGCATGCCTTTTCTCCTAGCACTGGCTGGTTTCCCAAGACAGAAGTCCTGGTATAGTGGCCAAAAGGAGGAGCTCTGATAATGCACTGCATGAGATAAACACCTGTCTTCATTTACCAGCTGTATGGTCTTGGATAAAGCACTTAGCCTTGCTAAGCCTCATTTCCCTTATCAGTAAAGGAGTTGAGGGTGATAACACTACCTATGTCATAGGATTGTTGAGAAATTGAGCTACTTAACCCATGGAATAGGCATTAAGGATGGCCTGACACACCATAAGCACATGGGAGTGTCCGCTATTAGCATGCTTTGGGAATCATTTCCCATGAGTCTTGAGTGGGACTGAACAACAGAATCTTAGAACCAGATACCTATTTTATTGATTACTGAATCTTTTTAGTAGGATATATAGCTATCTATAAGCATTATAATCTCTCTTTATTTTACAAATGGAAACAGGCTCTGGCTTAGCTGTGTGTCTCTAATGCTGGGTTGGTGGTTCGAAGCAAAAGCCATCTTTTAATATAATATCTTTTATTATTTTTCATTTTTTCCTTCTCTTTCTTTTTTTTTTGGTGAGAGTGAGTGGATTTAGTAGTTAAAGGATAAACAGTGTGACTATAATCAAATGCTCTTTAATTTTCCCCTTTGAAAATAAGATTAAGGAAGAGAAACACTGTCAGTTGGCAGAGATTATGAGGCCACAGGGTAACAACATGGGGCTGCACACCCTCTGTTTAGGGATTTGTCCTTAACTGACCTAACCTCAACCCACATCTATAGTAACTGAGAAGATTGAAGTCAGTGACCAAGTAAATAAAATATCATGGATTTAGGACCTCCCCCCCACACACACACAAAAAAAAGAGGTTCAAAATGATTCCAAGCCAAATCTTTTTGTTCTGCAATGTTCTGGTGTGGTCAACTGTGTCAATAGTAATAATGACCAATAACTCCCATTTATGAAAGCTAATGGTGGGTCAGGCTAAATGCTTTACATTATCTCAGTCATCCTAAAAGAAGGATCATCCTGTCCCCGCCGATTCCCAAAGCCACTCAAGTTCTCCCGAGTTTCTGAACTTTGGTAGAGATGACAGATTCTATGTGAATTTCTCAAATTCTTTTGAGAATGGAAGAATTAAGGCTTCAGTTATTGACAACTGTTTTAGCTGTTCTTGCTTGTTCTTCAAGTGACAAAGCCCAACCTAAGTAGTTTCTTGCCATCCAAATGGATCTTTGGGTAAGATTTGGCATTCTAACTTGATCTTCTGCTCTGAGTTAGCTGGAAACATTGCCACCAGTACTAGAAATCAGACTATTTGTTTTACCTCTCCTCTCAGGTACTCTTACAATGAGACCAAAGATTTGGCCTTCCATTTATTCTTTCAATCTTGTAACTATTATTTATGAAACATTCAATAATTTCCAATATTATCTTGGGAAATGCTGGGAAGACAGAGAGGAAAATAAACGAGCTTACCCTGGTCTCCAGTAGCTTAAAATTTACAGGTACTATTCTAGTTCAGTCTTCCAAATCCAAAGAAAAATCAAAGATCAAGAGAAATTTAAGGGCATGATTTTATAATTTGTATAGCATTTTGGGTATGAAAACAGGAAGAGGAACTGCCACAACCCTAGGGTTTTTTGAAGGCATGAATCATAAACCAGATCAACAGGTATGGTGGCCCCCTTGTCATGGCAGCAGATGTCTCTATAAAAGGAGAGAGATGTTTGGTGAGAAGGAAACACCAATGCTTGTGTCTACCCCAACCACCCTCCCACACAAATCTCAGTTTCTACAGTGTGGTTAAGAAGTTCTCTGTTTTGTTTTGACTTCAGCTCTCTCTCTACCCAGCTGAGCTGCATAAAGAGAATGAAGCCTGCCATTTTGAACACACTTTGCTTCCTCTAGTGTTTATTTTGCTAAGACTCTTAAGCTTGTCAGTCAAGCGGGCTTCCAACCCAGTCTCTGTAGTACTAATCTCCCTTTCTAAGAGACAAGCATCCAGAGTGAGATAGATTGGAAGACAAACTAACACATCAAAGTTGCTGAATACTCACAACTCTTTGAAGAGTGCTCTGGCTTTATTCACTTCAGAGGGAAAAATGTAAAACTCTAGCTAGAAGGTTTCAAAAATTCAGAAATTATAGAAACCAATGTATGTGCATGTGCCTGAGCCTAACCTGTGCTTCTTGTCTCACAAATGCTGTGTAGGGGTGAGCAGGAAGGGTCACAGAAGAGTGGGAGAGGAAGGACATTTTCGGCTATCCTGGAGTTTACTGAACGTCCCATATTCTGAGATGCAAACCAAACTTCTATCTTTGGGATAGGAAGGTGTGAGTTTACCCCCAGGACGTGAAACAAAATAAAATACTCAAGTGAGAAATGTCACATTTTTTATTTTCTGAAATCAAATTAAACCTAACTAACTCTGTAGTGCCTTTTTTCCAGGGCAGGAAATATATTCTTGGCCACTAGGAAGGAACTCTCAGAGATAATGCAAGATCTATTTGACATTCTTGTCCACCTTCTGGGTGTACTCAGATGTTATTATAGTTTTCTTTTGTTTGCTGATAAAATCCTAATTTTTAGCCAAGTGCAAGACAGAGATCTACTCAGGGAAGGTAGGCCCTTCCCCAAATTCAGACAAATAATTAGCCTAAACTGTACTAGGATAGCAGAACTAACATTTTTCCCACCTATAGCATCTGATGTTATGTGACAGTGGATTCTAACATCATGGGCTAAGGGATAATTAGTTTCCTTCTTAATTAAAACAAAAGCAAAACTCCATTCCATCCTGACTTTGGACACATCCATGTGAAGCATGCATCTGGATTGACAGCAGCAGACATTTTATCCCCATAATGCCCCAGACAAGTGAAACACCAAGAAGCCACTGGGCAGCCATTGTCATTGAGGTCACCAATCTTGGCATCTGTTGATGTGCATGATGAAAAATACCTGTTATTGAAGACTCTGCATTAGTATTCTGTTACCAGCCAAAACACCTTGCCCTGCTGTTTTGATGTTGGCTGACCCTCCCCGGGACTTTAGTGATAAGGCTTTTCTGACATGTACAGGGTTGTCTGTTTCCAGTTCATTCCTCAGAGTAAGAATCTAGGTCCTGAGGCAGTGAGCAGACCAGGCTTTGAAATGATGTCTGAAAATGTGAAATAATGGTTTGGTTGAGTAACTGCCCAGAGAAACATTCAGTTCACTCTTGCTCTTCCTCCACCCATCCCACTCCGCTTCAGCTCTTCACTGTCATAACCTGCTGTGCCGATATATTTTCAGCACCATCTTCCTATCACAGAACATCTGCCCTCCAAGGACTCTCAAGTAGCCAAGAACTTCAAGAACAAAACAAAACTGAATATAGTGCCTGTTTATACTGAAAAAGAAGCCATCAAGTGGAAGGAAGCTTAATAGCCAAGAAAGGTGAAATAAAGGTGAAGATTCTACCCTTTCCAGACCAAAAGATTTTCATGTTATAGCATGGCAGTTCAAAGCAACTGCTGGCTGATCAAAATGGTGATTGTAAACTGGTATGGTGGCTCACACCTATAATCCCAACATTCTGGGAGGCTTGGCAGGAGGACTGCATGTTTTGTCTCAGTTTGTGCAGCTTAGTGATTTACCAAGACCCTGTCTCAAAATTAAAAAAAGAAAACAACAACAACAACTTTTTAAAAAAAATTTATTTTCTTTTATTGAGTTTATTGGTACATTTTATGTATACAGTACAGTTACATTCATTATTGGGATCTTGTACCTTTCCGTGACAGTTGGTCTTGGTTCTCATTTTTTCCCCTTGTCTCTGCCCTCTCTTCACCCTACAACAACATTTTTTTAAGGGGTGAAGAGTGGGGATACAGTTCAGTGCCAAAGACCTGGGTTTAATCCTCAGTACCAGGGGCAAGGGTGGGGGTTGATTTTAGAAGGATAGTTGTCAAAACCAATAAAAATAATATTACCTGAAGATCTCCCATCTCCCTTTTAAAGCACACTTCTAGAGCATAACGTTTTGCAATTCTATTTCCTTGGGCCTGAGGTCGGCCAGGAGAATCTGCCAGTCTACATTCAGCCAGTCCAGGGATTCTGATGGGCAGTTCAGGAGCCCACTCAGATGCACTGCTCTGCACCTGGACTTTGCCCTCTAAAAAGCAGCCTCCTCCTTCTGCACATTATCAGTGCTTTTCTTTTTCTTTTTTTTATTATTATTTTTTTTTTCATTATTATTTTTTTTCTTTATTGAGTTTATTGGTACAATCTAGGTATACAATACAATTACATTCATCATTGGGATTCTGTACCTTTACATAAGAGGTCTTGATTCTCATTTTTCCCCTTGTCCCTGCCCTCCCTTCACCCCCTCCTCCCCTCCCCATTTACAAACACTTTATTTCCATTTTTTCAGTTTCTCATATTTTTTTCCTTCTTTTTAAAATAGAAAAGAAAATCAGACTGAAAATAGTTCAGTCAAGGGCTTTGCCAAAGCACTTAGTAAAAGTATTTTGTTAATTCCAGAATCTGAAATAATAAATGAGGGTTAAAAAAAAAAAGAACCTAAAATTACTTTTAAGAGGAGATTTCCTATATGGCTCTTCCACTCTGTGTGGGAACCACCCCAGGAGAAGGCAGTTCTGGAGAATACACTTTGGACAGCTTCTTAAAGTCTGCTAGGTTTCAACTTCCTGCAATGTCCCTGGGCAATCTTCTTTGCAAATGAATAGGTTGCCTTTTCTGGTCTTCACCAGTTCCCCTTTCTGCTGAAAACTGTTCTGAAATTGGTTTGCATAGGAGGGGCTGGATCAGAGTCCCCAGCTGGGCCAGCACCTCTAAGTAAACAGAAGGGGTCACATGATTTATCGGGTGATGAGTGTTTGCTGGAAGCCTGTGGTGCAAGGTTACAGTCCAGTGGAGGGGAGAGGGCACGAGAAACACGACAAGAAACTCCCCCTTGCTCTTGTTTTTCAGGGAAACTCCCCTCCTATGTGTAAGCACCTCAGGGGGCTCTTTCTGAACCAGAGTCTCAAGGCAGAAAATGATACTGTCTGTGGTTTCAAGAGGGTGGGGAAGGCTGATCTGGGAACACCTAAGGACCATCCAGCAGCTACTCTCTCCTGGAAGAGGCTTCTTCACAAAGGTTTCTCTAGACTCTTTTTTTGGATATTTCCATTTCATAGGGCCTTTCGCTTACCCGGGTCAGATCATTTATTGGTGATCTAAAAAACATTTACTTGATGCTTGAGGATAAATCACCCACTTGGCAGAAGAACCCACTTGTCAAGAGCTTTTTAGGAGGGAAAAGGAAGGTCAGTTTTACAACCTGGAGAAATGGGCTGTACAGGCTCTGGCCTATAGCAGAAGACTGTCTGGGCTGATTATACCAATCACTGAGCTGTTTGACTCATTACTGGATTTCTAGAATTCCAAAGGCTGACTATTCACTCTCAGGGGTCAGCCACAGTTGACAAATTCCACCATAACAATCATAGCTTTCCTATAGCCAACTGAAATTCCCATATTGCTAAAAATAACTTAACTTCTAAAAATCAAGAAGAAAAAACATCATCCGCTTAATCTAAGAGTAGGCAGAAGAGATGAACCACAGAAAAACAAATTACTTGAACACATGCAAAGATGCTTTGCTCTGTTAAGTCAATTTAAAATTTTTTATTAGTACATGTTTGCAGTACATGATTACATTCACTGTATGTACATGAGCCATCTTCATTCTGGTTTCATCCCTTCTGTTCCCCTTCTTCCCCTCTTTCTTCATCTCTCTCTCTCTCTCTCTCTCTGTACCAGGGATTGAACTCAGGACATTGCGTTTGCAAGGCAGGCATGGTGCCACTGAGCTAAATCCCCAGCCCTCCCTTCATTCCTTGATTCCTCTTTCCATTTGAGAAAGATCTAATGTTCCTACTTCCTATTATCTATCTTTTATTTTGCTCTTTATTTATATTTTGAATTTCTCATGTAAGAGAAACCACGCAATATTTAGTTTGTGTATCTAACTGGAAAATCTTGATCTACTACATGAGAATCTTCTCTAAAATACATCCTTGCCTGAGCAGAAAAACAAGGTATAAGGAAGTATGTACAGCATTCTAAAATTTGAATAAATAAGAGCAAAATTAAAAAGATAAAAAAAGAAGAAAGAAAGAGAGAGAGAAGAAAGAGAAAGAGAGAGAAAGAGAATCTCTGGGAAAGTATAGAAGAAACTGGTAGAATAACTTTCAGATGGGAAAACTAAGCAGTTGTGGGACAAGATTGAGAAAGAAGCTTTTATTATATTGCTTTTGAACTTTTGAGTTATATGAAGGTATAATCTGGTCAATAAATAGCACTGAAAAAACCTAGGTCAGTATTTTATGTTATATATAATATATTGGCCACTTTATTATTTGGACTCTACTTTTGTATTTTCTCTCTCTCTCTCTCTCTCTCTCTCTCTTTCTCTCTCTCTCTCATACTCTCAATAATAAACTATGCCATCAAGTCAATTACTTCTGTGGGGAGCAGGGATTCTCCCACATTGAATCTGTCAATTAGATACAACCAGATTTCAGAAATGTTCAACTGGGAAAATCACACTCCATCCAGAATAGAGAGAGGACATTCCTCTGCTTTTCTGACTACTCACTTATGCCCTAGACTATGAACTATCATCACCCAGCAGTTATTAACCTTTTTTTTTTTCCTGTTTGGTATCACTAAAAGGCAGTAACATTCACTAGCTGTGGGTGTATTGTGACCACTGTATCATTTTCTGCTATTTCCGCTTGCTTCCTGAATAGCCTCTTGTTTCCTTATTTCTGGGCAGTCTGTTTATTCTCCTTTCCATTGTGATATCTCCTGCATCTTTCTAATGAGCTTCATCCTGTTTTTGACTGGCCATTCTCTGTTTTGACAAGGTAAAATTGATCAATGAATTAAACATATGTGAAACATCTCTGTATACAAGCCCATTACAAGGAAAGATTTCAATGTTGTCCATTTCCTTGCAGATAATAACTTGGAAGGCAATTTTAACAGTCAGATGAATTCCAAATAGAGATCTCTGTTTAAACTTTTTGTTCCATAAATAGAAATAAAGTGCAGACATCCTGCCTCTTGACTTATTTTGTCATTTGAAGCTTTTAGACATATGTTTTTGTTTTCTTGATTTCTCTCATTTCTTCTTCTGCAACTGAGACTATAGTCAGGATGACCTCATAGCTCAGCAAGAATTAGAGTGATGCCTTCTCACTGACCTATTTCTGGGAGCTACCCTAGAAAAACGTGGCCAATCCCTTGACACCTTGTCGCCTTATGAGGCTGGCTAGTGAGCTTTTCATTTAACTTCTGGATTGAATAATTTGACTCCAAGTGAGATATTTATTTCATTCAACTAGCAGGCATACCCTGTGAACCAGGATAGGAATTCATATGATTTCACAAATATAAGGTTCCATTTTAAAATTTAATCTCACAGGCTCATAGACTTTCAGAATTAAAAAAGACTTTAAAAGTATTTTGATTTGGGATTGTTAACCAGTCTCACAGAAAGTGCCAGAAGCAATAAATAGACATAAGATAATGTATCACTCAGGGTGGGCTAGTTACTCTGTGGTGACAGCAGAACCCCCCAAACTTCACTGGCTTAACACAACAAAAGCTTGTTTCTTACTCATGCTACATGATTATCCAAGATTGGCTGGGGACATTGGTTCTGCCCTAGTGCCATCCTCATTCCTGGCACAATGGGAAAAGCCAGGGTCAGGAGCATTGCTGGCCTCAGTGAAGAAGGAAAAGAGAACAGTGTACTTCATTCTTCAACCCAGAAGTGTCACATTTCTGCACGCCTTCTGTCAGTCATTGTTTGAGCTCAAAGGGGTAAAGAAATATAATTCTTAGAGGAGGAAAACTGTTTTGGAGAACTGTGGGCTGCAGGGTCCATTGAACCCGCAGAATTGCATACAAAATTATATGTGAGTGAGCTTATATGTGTGTTTCTCAGGAGTTCTGTAACTTTTAGTCTATTCCAAAAAGTGTCTTTGACCACCTTCCCACTCCCTCACCAAGTTAAGAACCAACGTTTTTAATCCAAATGCCTTATTTTACAGATGAAAGAACTTGAAAGCCAGATCTTTAAGAAACTTGCCAAAAACCAAAACATCCCCAACTTGCCAAAACAACAGTTAATTGGGAGCAGAACCAACCCCTACCCCCTCATGAGGGGGAGGCCATGCTTCCAGGCACAGCAAAAGGCTCCAGCCTCTGCTAACCAGCTCTCTGCATCCAAATTTAATTTAGAGAGGAAGGAAAGAGGTCATGGGAAGGGTCTTTATTTCCTGTAGGGTTCAAATCCCAAATGGAGGTTGGAAACTGGTAAAGGATCCTCCTTGGAAACTTTTGAAAAATAACTCATTTGAAAATATTT